AAATTAAATTTTTTATGTCCAAATATGATAATCTCTCCATATTCTATATAATCCGTCCAAAAATTCTTCTCAATGCCACATAATATTTTATTAAATTTTAACTTAATACGAGAGTCAATTATATCTATTTTTTTATAATGTAACTTAATTCAACACTAATGACATATGAAAATTGTAGTTACTAATTTATATACTTGGCTCTTAATATCACATAGTTCTTATACTACAGAAAGTGCCAATCAATTCCACCCAACCTATAAATTTTTAGTTACATACATTCACAGCCAATTTTTTGCTTTAATCTAATTCTAATTTTCCATTTTTTTTTTATTCTTATTTATATTTTCATGTCATTTTCTTTTCCTCCATAATATATAATTAAAATTTTACAAAAGTGGTAGTCACTAGCTAGCACTTTAAAAAATAAAAAATAAAAATGATGTATAATTAAGAAAAAAAGCTAAAAGTAAATAGGATTAATTATGTCATCTTTCTCATATTTTGTGTATGTGTGTAATGATAATTGGAGGATATGCTAAGTTGGGATGCTATCACATCATGTTTAGCGTGAAAATTAATACATGAATATCAAATATAATTACTTTTAAATAATTATTGTTAACTATTAAAACCATAATCTCGTGATTATAATATTTACAATTTATTTATACATTATAAATTTAATATATTATTTTATAAATGTATCGTGAATTAATAATAATTTATTTATATTTTATTCGATAAAATTAAAAAATTAATTTATTAATATATTAATGAAATTAAGTGATTAAGTTAGATTAATCTCATCAAATTATTAGATATTTAAATGAATGAATATTTTGTAACGAATAAATTTTTATTATTAAAATAATTATTATTAAATAATAATTGTAATTTATTTATTTTTAAAATAAATAAATAAATAATACTTTCAGAATTATGGTTTTAGATCCAAAACTCAAAAATATTTATTTTTGGGGCCACCATGCTGTTTGTAAAGAGGATGGTAATTAATCAGGGGAATCCAATTAACTAACTAAAATGAGTTGGTTAAACTTTTTAGTAGTATTTAGTAAATTACTTTGTACCACCCTCACATATGATCATAATATAAACCTGTCTAATTATGAAATATTTTAATAATTCTATATTATATTTTATGATAAAAAAATTTGTATTAGATAAAATTTTACTTGAATTTTCATTCTAACGTTATTCTATTTACAAGCACAATTAAACTTATATTATATCGTAAAAGTAGAACAATTTACATGAAAATACAATATATTACAATTTAATTCGAGACACTATTTTATTAGTTTTGAATCTGAACATGGTTTTTTAATAAAATAATTGTTTTGATTTTAGACTTCAATAAAACCTAATTTACATGTAATAAAAAATTTGTGCAAGACAATCCTCGTCTTAAAATTTAATATGAGAATAACTTATAAAAAATATATTATTAAATTCAATTAAATGTAAAGTTTCAAATTTAATTAAATTCATAATTTTAAATTGAAACAGAGTTTCATTCGCATTTATAAATAAAAAAAATATAATTTTATCACATAATAAAATATAACTCTAAAAGATCCAACTTGATTCCAAATATATATATAATTATAGATATAGATTATATGTATTTGAATTTAAACACGAAAATAAATAAATAAATAAATTAAAGTTGAAAATAAATAAAGAAGAAGAAAAGACTGTGGACCACCAAAATTATTGATAATAATTCAACATTTTTATGATTTATCCGATTTAATAAAATAAAACCACTCGTTTTTTAAATATTTAATAATATTAGCATTGAAAATGTTTGGATGCTGACATGGATCTGTATAACAACTTGGTTGGTCAAGCACACGATTCCATGTTTGTCAAACGACACCGTCTTGACCACCGCGTCTGCCATTTGTGTCACATGCCTGTGAAGTTAAAACCAATAGGACGCCTCCTAATTGATTACGTGGTGAATCATGCGTGGACGAGGTCCCTTTACTGTCTGCGGTGACTGTGACATTAACAGTTCTATTTACACAGACTTAACACACGATATGCGTATGAAAGCCAAAATCGA